GGATTACAACACTGCCGGGCGCTGGAACGTTTTGACTTGGGTCTTTGCCTTTCACTGGCTCTGTTTCTTCAACATTAAGAACATCACTCTCCATTACAACTTTTTCGGGTACTGGAACTGTTTGCCTTGGTTCCCCGCGTTTCACTGCCTCTGTGTCTTCAACATATCGAACATCGCGCTCAACCACAACTATGTCGGGCACTGGACCTGTTTTCCTTGGGTCGCTGAGTTTCCCTGGCTCTGTGTCTTCAACATTGAGAACATCGCGCTCAACCACAACGCTGTCGGGCACTGGAACTGTTTGACTTCGGTCCCCGCGGTTCACTGGCTCTGTGTCTGCAACATTAAGAACATCGCGCTCAACTACAACGCTGTCGAGTACTGGAACTGTTTGCCTTCGATCTTTCACAAGCTCTCCCTCTTCATAATTCTTGGCAAAACACGCCTTAGGTAGACTTAAATTGAAGGCATCGGCGGTGAGAATTGCATTTAGAGCATTTTCCACTAGTAAATGTCCTCTGAATGCCCTTTGAACAGCTTTGCCGCTGAGCGTGTGTCCCACCGTATTTGAAGCATACACACACTCTAAAAGTTCTTCAATACCAGAACCAGACATAATGCTGCCTATGCAACCAAGAAAACTCATTTCTGCGTGGAATCCTCCAAGACGAAGTATTATAGAGCGCAGTTCACTGTCTGGTGGTTCACTCTCTACGATAAGCTGCGCTTTCCACCACAAGGGTTGGTCGAATGTAATAATAGGCGTGGTATGTTGCCTTTTACATTGTGCTTCTACAAATTTAAGCGTTGAATATATACAGCTCATGTTTGTTGGATCCATGTCAATCATTGGTAAGAATGTAACAGAAGATTTTCCGGGATGGCTTCCTTTGCTTACAGTCTGCATTAATCCAGACCAATTTGGCTTGGGGGATCGAATTGGCCAAACTAAACTGCAGAGAAAGTCTAACTTCCAAGTTTTATTGACGTTAGAAAGACATGGCAGTTTCTCATAAACCAAAGGCACTTTGACATCATTAGCCGTCTTGTAATAGTGAATATCAATCTTTCCAATATTTGCTATCTCTGCAGCTGTGGTGGAACACCTCGGTATTGGAGAATCTGGATGCGTGGCCGGAGTAACAGCAGCTATTATCCCCATACCATGAAAAGTGTTCTGTCCGTCCAACGTACAGACATTGTGGTCTACATTATCTGCTACATATTGTACAAAGTGACCAGGGGTTAAACCAGGAATATCTGTGCCTTTTGTTTGCGCCGCACTCATTTCAAATTTCTTAACTTCAGTGTAAGAGGAGCAAAACCCATGACTATTCAAGGAATCAATTAAAAATTTGGATCCATAATGGTGGTGCATTTGGACTGCCAGGCCGATTTGAAGAGGAGCTATCAGGACCCTGGGCCGAGCGGCTTGAATAATGGCTTGCCCTATGGAAGCAATCTTTCGCTCTGCACTCTTTTCGTTAAATATTGTTCTCAGAAACAAATACAACGTTTCAGGTAGAAAAGCGCAGTTTTCTTCCAAAGACGAAATCTCTCCTGGTAATGGATAAAAACTTTTAGAGATGTCCTTACTTTTGATGTCCGTTTTTATGAGATCAGCAGCTGCCTTAATCACTCTGATTTTATCGGCTTCAGGGTCAGCATCTCTAGAAGCGTCATAAAAATTTTGCAAGATGGTCGAAGCTGTACTCCTAAATGTTACGACATCAGCCTTACCATTGATACTAGCAATAACGATGTTTTCTCCAAAATGCTCTTTAAGTTTTTCTTTCATATACCGTGCGCTGTAAGGTTCTTGGTCGTTGAATTCTGCCATCTTATTCATAAGATCGTTCACAGTTATCTGCTCGTCATCGTTTTCCTTAAGATATTTTGCAACCTCCAAGAATGCCTCTTGCCTAGACTTATCAGTTGGCCTGCCTGTCTTTTGTCGTTTGCTTCCGTTAGTTTGATGAGAAGGCGGTACTTGCTTCCCCGTCCGAAAATTGGTACTGCAAACTTGGTGATAAATTGCACCTGCTGCAATGAGATCTTGGGAAAAAGATATTCTGCCATGCACTTTCTCAGCCCAACCGTCTCTTCGCTCCTCACAAATTCGGTTTAATGCGGTTTGAAAATCTAATGTTCTAACAGGAAAAACATCATGTCCTCTTTTGTTTCCCGTAAGTTTAGCAGGCTGGCTGCAAAATAAACATCGTTCACCAAAATCAAATGTTGGTTCACTGGAACGCAGGGTACGACTTGCACTAGAGGATGTTTCTTCATCAGCCGTATGTTTCTTTATGTAGGAACGAATAACCTTTACATGACAGTATTTCTGCCTGCATTTTTGATGTACACGCTGTCCTGCAAAAGTTTGGAGTGTGTCGCCACGTAGTTTACTTGCATTGTTGATGCCATCGCTTCCTTTTTGCCTAAGTTCCACTGTTTCGAGGCCATTGGTTGATAATTCCTTGCAAATTACACAATACTCCAT